GGCACCATTTCCCCCCACTTTTTCTTGAGGGCTTGCATAGATGCGGCTTGATGACACTCTCTTGCTGCTCTTGCTCATAGCTCCGCACAAGGCAAGGGCGTGCCTCAAGACGCTGGCCACTTTCCACAACAAGGTGGAGCGTTACATACATCCTAAATCAAGTCCCTGTCTCTTTGTTGTAGCTGCGTATCCAGGTGACCCGTCAAGCATGCTTCGGCCGCCGCCAGGGATCCTTTTTGGTCCTGGCCTCAGTTGGACGTTTCGAGAGGTCAGGTAGCTTCAAGCCGGCATTGCGAGGTTCGAAGCACTGCTTTCAGAATTGAAAGCGCATGTTCACCAGTTTGCACATGGACTTGAGATATTCCATCAAGAGAGCACAGGTGTTGTTCGCATACTGTCTTGTGAGCATACTGAAAGATAATCAGTCTTGCTTGAAGCCTTGAGCTACAAATGATATGTTTGGCAGGACACTGGAAGGATGGGCAATCACTCCTGCACCCTTCTAGCAGTATGTTGTTTTCCCACGCTTCCGGGAAGCTCAGCATATGATACATGCTTTGCAAGTGGTAATTCGGCCCGGCTTTGACCCCAAGTGGATGACTTGTGTCCAGAGGCAGATGCATGTAGGGCTAAGTCAGCCCAAGCCCGTGGAGCTTCGTTGTGAACTCTCAAGTGTGCAGGGGCGCCCCAAGCAAGCATTCCTGCAAAAGGACCGTCTGGTCCTTGCCCTAGCTGCAGAAAAAGCTCTGCCACCACGGATATCTCAAAATTTAATCTGTTGTTCCTGGCAATCATTCTGTTCGAGTCATTTTGGGAGACGTCAGGAATGAAACATGTTGAAACAGCTGGCATGTCTTTTGTCCAGATCTGAGAACTTCTGAGGCAAGGGGCAAGTGCAGCAGGACAGCGGCGCGCAGCCCAGTACAGATTGCCAATCGAATCCTGGCTGGAGAGCCCGCATGTCAGGTGTCTCGGCAGGCAAGTCCGAAGTGCTCGGTGGTCTGATCGCTGAGCTGGTGGGAGGCCGTTCAAGTCCAAGCCATGCGCAATGCCACCTGCAAGCAGTTGGAGCTGTGAGCATTTCATCATCCTGGCAAGGCTCTTTGGTGGAGGACTCCAAATCTGTTTATGCCTCGGACACATGTCCCGCACTATGGTATGTGCAGGCTTTCCTGTGCTAAGGACTCCTGGAAGGGTGACAGGCTACTTGGTGGCAGGTTGACTCGGGTGCCTGTCCTGCACTGCACGATTTGAGTCTTGAGATGTTGCCACACATGGGATCTGAAAAGCTTGTCCAGAGCGAGGGCTGCTTTTCAAGAGGGTGTGACACCTTTCCCCACGCGAACTAACACGCAGCCCAAACAAAACACGGCATCGGCTGAGGTGGAACCGGTGGGATGAGCCCGGAACGGAGAAGAAGGTGAAATAATTATCGCCAGTCACGAGAAACAGTGCTGACTTGACTAAAACATGCCAGCGATCATCATGGTCAGGACCGGAGCCCGGAGCGTGGAGGGAGGAATCCGCACGGTTCCTAGCCAGCTGGCCGCTGTGGGCTTCACATCTCAGATGTAAGGTGGGGTGGCTCCAACTGGGATCGGGGTGATGGAGGCGGAATCGGACCTGCTTTACTAACTCCTGCTATGCTTTATGACTTCATGATGCTGTATGGTTCTTGAAAAAGGCGAGATGAAGGAGGCCTCGAGGAGTTGGAGGGAGAGAAGCCGAGGCCGAAGCCCAGGCAGGGCAGTGCAGGGAGATGCTGGGAGCTGCCCATCACTCGTGTCCGTTTGAGGACGCGGACGCAACTGGGAGGCAGGCAAGGAGGCAGATGCTGCGGCCTGCCCTGGGCACATCATGTTTGTTCCCTCATCTCTGAAGCATGTACGCAGGAGCATGGCAAGCAAGCTCAGACCGCGAGCTCTCGACAGCCAGGCACAGTTGCCTTACCTTCTTGTGGCACATAGCCCAAAGATTAAGCAGCCAGGGGGGACCTACAAAGTGCAGCTGCATGGACCTCGAAAAGATTTGTTCCCTCATTGGAGATGGGGCAAGTGCTGGATAGGGAGCCCAGGTCGCGAGCAAATGAAGACCAGAAGTGGGGCTTCTTCTGGAAGCCAGAGGTGTGTCCAAAGCATGCGCATATGTGCCTTAGAGCAAGGTCCAGCTGCATGTTTTCAGGAGCTTAAGAGCAGCAGCCGCCGCATTCTCCGCGAGGGTGTGGTCACCTTCTTAGCTCGTACCAGTCCTCGCTAGAATCTGGATGTCTCAACAAGGCATTTGTATGTCCAAGTCCTACTGTGGGAGGCAGCACCTGGCAGCCCCTTCGGTGTCTGGAACAAGAAGAATCCCGAAATCGCAGCGCTACCAGGAGACGAGCTGGTTGAAGCACCTCGGTAAAATGTGGTACAAAGTGTGAGGAAGACCATGGAAAACCCTAAGAGCCGCAGAGGTGAACTCAGCTGGCCGATCGCCAGAGGCCATTGCCAAAGAGCTGAAGTCGGTGTCTCACAATCTTGACAACTCAAATTTGTTGTTGCGCTGTTGACCTGTTTGTGTGCCGAGGGGATTAATCGTTTTCTGCGTGTTCCAGCGCGTGACACACCTGGAATCTTAAACAGGATGCATGCACATCGTCGCACATGATTGGCAACTCGAGGCAGGAAACATTAACATCAAGGACAAATTTCGAGCAGCTTGCATGCAGTCGAGCGCCAGGCAAGCCCAGCAGTCGACTCTCGTCAGACTTCCAAAGCAACCGTTCCACTGTGCATGCAGGGGAGCTGTGCGGCCAAAGGATCGTTCTTTGTCTGCTGCCGTCGCCAGAGCAGGCTGCCGTCGAAGATGCCATTTATTTTGCACGACCCGAAGTTTCTCTTGTCTAGGCTTTTGAAGTGGGTCGCCCGTACATTCCAAAACCGATTATCTACCAGTGCTCTCTTGTCATCATAGGCATGCTACTTAAAGGGATACTGCGTGGGGGGCAAAGGGGCATGCTTGACGACATGCAGAAGTCCAGCCGCTTTTACCTTCGGTGCGCTCGAGGCAAGGGTGCGCCACCAGCCCCACCTCCCGATGCTGGCAATCAAGGCAGGTCAGACATGGCAGTGTCCATAGCTAGTTTGCAAGGAGCGGCCTAGCAGTGTCTGACCCTGAACTTGTTTACGGCGTTAACATGGCATCTTCATCAGAGAAGCCGCATCGGTGGGTTCCTGCTACAAGTCTTAAGTTCTAGTGAGCTTCCTTCCGATTGCTTCTGAGTCGGTTTCTGTGTTTCAGGAAAAGGCCGGCCTCCGCTCGCACCTCCGGATGCTGGCAACAAAGGCAAAGCAAGTGGAAGATGGCAGCGTATGCATTTTTCATTTGGGCGTCTAGTGGCCTTGTCTCCTTCAGGGGATGGCTCAGCAAGCACCTTCGCCGCTAAAGGGGTGGTGGGCGCAGACCTCAGTTGGGCAACCTCCAACATGCTGCTATACTAAGGTAGCATGCCGCGCCCATGTTGTGAGGAATGACAACCCTAGAAGAGTAAAGCTTTGGGCAGATGGCAGGAAGAATACGTGCAATTTATTTTGCACATCATCTTACAGCTACAGAAGCAGAAGAGGATTACCGCATCTTAATCAGTTAAGCTGCCTCTGCGGGCTCCTGCAATAAGAGTGGCGGCTCCCTATCATGACTCTGCCAAGCATTGCCCGAAGAAACGGAAAAGCGTCTCATCGAACACGGGAAGTGCTTTTTGAACATGTCTTGGTCTGACTCCAGATGAAGGAGAAGTCCAGCTGCTGCCCTGCCATGGATTTAGTGAACTGCAGTTACATCAGTAGGATTATAGCCCGGAGGTCATGTATCAGAAACATGGCAGAGGCAAAGTTTTTTAAAGCCCGATTCCAACATTGCTTCTGAGTCGGCTTCTGTGTTTGAGGCAAAGGCCCGCCTCCAGCCCCACCTCCGGATGCTGGCAAGCAAGGCAAGGCAAGTCAAGCCAAAGATGGCCTTGCTGTGTGAGTCTAGTGGACGTATCGCCTTGTCGCCTTCAGGGGATGCTCCAGCAAGCGCTTTCGCGGCTAAAGGGATGCTAGGCCCGGACCGCAGCCAGAACTAGATCGCAAACAGAAGTGCAAGTTTGGAGAAGACTGCAGCTGCTGATCTTTAGCGGCCGGATTGCGAAGAGGTTTATGGCATTAGCATGGCATCATCAGAGAAGCCGCATTTGGGGGAGTCCTGTTACTACGAGAGTGGCGACTCTTGTCATGACTTCGACAGAACTCGTGTTGTTCTTACTCCGCATGATGGACAGGTCTAGCTGCTGCCCCGCCATGGCTGTATAATGCTTTTGTGAATTACGGTTACAATAAGATGAGAGCCCGCTGGTCATGTATCAGAAATATGGCAGAGGAATGCAGAGGACACCGTTTTTCGACATTGCTTCTAGGTTGGCCTCTGTGTTTCAGGCAAAGGCCCGCCTCCGCCGGCACCTCCTGATGCTGGCAATCAAGGCGAGCAAAAGATGTCACTGTGGACAACTGTTTTGCAAGTCTAGTGGCCTTGTCGTCTTCAGGGGATGTTCCGGCAAGCCCCTTCACAGCTAAAGGGATGCTCGGCCAGGACCCCAGCCGGGTAGTTTCAGATATGCAGATGTAAATAGTTCGTATGCTGCGGGCATGTTGGGTAGGTGGGTGAGCAATGGCAAGTGGCCAGCATCTTTTTGGTCGGATGTTGGCTGCAGACAACCCTAAAAAAGCAGGAAGAACACATGGAATGAGGTAATGAGCATCATTCATCAGAACTCTAAGT